CCTTTCATTTCTATTCTATCATTTCACCCAAGTGAAGGGAGGGGAGTGATGGAAATAACAAGACAAGGTGAAAGAGAAGAAAATCGATGAAGAATGAAGAGAGAAAGAAAACCCCATTCCTGACTGAATCTGACCTGTGCAGACGGATGAATTGTTTTTGTCTGAGCGGCTTTTTTTTTGTTTTGAGCCTTGCTGTCCCATTAGTCTCGTCTTCTGTCTTTATCTACAGTGGGTTAACAGTCCTATCAGGAAATATTTGTAGTATGTAACCAACTTTAGGTCACGACTGGAATTGTCTCACAGCTCCTGGAAACATTTGAATAATCGTCCCGATTCCCAGAGGATGGATTATTAATGCTATTCATTTTTCTTACTCCAGTACCATCAAGTTCAGAATTGTTATTCGTCTAATACTTTGGTATATGCGCAATAAAAAAAAAAATGTGCAAGGATGATAATATTTAACTTTAATGTATAAAGCGTTTTTCTAAATACACTTAACCTCCTGTTGTCTTCGGTTTCAAATCTGAGCGATATACTACCTTTCATCAATCATAACTTTTTTGTTTTACATCGATTGCATTAAGGCTTGTATGATATCCTTCACAGGAGACATTGAACAGTATAAAATGGGCTGATTCACCACTTTCATTGCATTTTGGATGATTTAGTCAACTTTGTAACACCCATGGTGTTCCCGGTCTCTACAGAAAAGGAATTAATCAGGATCAGATCACACACACACACACACACACACACACACACACACACACACACACAACCACACCAACACACACACATCCAACACATCCAACACATCCAACACATCCAACACACACACACACACACACTAGATGTCCCCCCCCCTCCCCTTATGTGCCCATCCCCCCACATGGATCACACCTGGCACACGCAATACATGTTCAGTGTCTGCTCTTTGTATATTTACTGCAGTTTTTCATGTATACCTGTAGTCTGATACAATATGGACAGTTTGAAAGGGTGTTAAATGAAATTTGGTGATGATGAATGGTTTTTGTGTTAATGTAATAGCAGTTAAAACAGGACCGGTCAAAACGACGACAATAGGAGGGTTAATAAAACATTTCAAACAACCATAAAAATAGGAATGACTAAAAAAAAACAACATGCAATGAATTTAGAGAAAATACAAAGTAAACAGAAATTGGTATGTTTTTGTATGTTTGATGTGATTTATCCTGTTTTAAGAATGGTCAATTGTGAATGTCTTCAACTGAAACGGTCCATACATTTCTGGATGCCTTTTTATAAATCAACTTTTTCATTTATTTATGTTGCCATACTTTTAATGTATATTCTAGGCATCAAGACCACTCCACATTTCTATGAATGTTATCTATCTGCTTTCTATAGATTTTTAATCTCAATGAAATCCTGGTAAAATAAAACAATGAAAAACAAACAGTAAGAGGTCATGTCTGTTTGTGTACATCAGTTCATGTCATTACGTATGGTTGTTTGGATTAAAATGGCTGCTTTTGAAAGACACTCGACCCACGTGGGTCTCATGTTTTTGCTGCAGCCTCTCAATCACATCCAGTTTTCCACTATCATTTTAGAACTGAGAGAAATAGCCAAACCCAGGACCCATGTTTTCTATGGCTGCACCATTTCATCAAAAGGAAAAGTTCCATATCTCTTGAAAATATGGTTATTACACACAGTTTCATTTATTTAAAGATACGCCTTTTGGGGTTTTCTCTTTCCTGTAGTGTGTTATATAGGTTTTTGTGCATGTAAATGTTCTGCAAAGGCTTAAATCCCAATGTCTCCTCCAGAGGGAGTTTCCCCTTCCTGAAACTCTATAACTGGACTCCTTTATTTACTTCGGTAACATCGTAGCAGAATTAAATCACTGGCCGTTTCTCAATCGCAAGTAAAACTGCTGCAGAGCAACTATTTCAAGTATACTACGTCATCGAGTGGCGCCGAAGGACTGTTTAAATGCGTGTTAAATGCCCAGCATTCTGCGCCACTCGATGACGTAGTATACTTGAAATAGTTGCTCTGCAGCAAGTGTACTCAACATTGAGAAACAGCCACTATGTAACACTAGTTAGACCCTCCAGAAAAACGCGGGCTAAAATCCTTGATTATGCGATTAAACATGCGGGGGTTTTATGTGATTTTATGCGGTGAAATTTCGGGAAGTTGCGAAATATGCGGAAAGTTGCGAAATATGCTAAATATGCGGGAAAAAAGAATAACAATTTTTTTAAATATTGGGCTGTCTTATTTATTCTCTCTCACACACAACCTGCCACTAATGTTAAACCCCTTTACTATTCAATTAAACACATTCAATGTTTATTTATTGTAAAAGCAATTGGGCTATTTTAATCTCACTCTCTCTCTCCCAAACACACACACACACACACACACACACCACACACACACACACACACACACACACACACACACTTCTCCGCCTCATTCTGTTTTCATTTACTCGTTCGTTATCTGACCAGCTTCAATCTTGTAGGCTACTCACTTCGTTTCTTGTAGCCCTCGAAAGGGTTTTGGAGGTTGATGCCTCGGGGAACGTGAGTTGAATGGCTTTCTTGTCCGCAGCAGCAGAAAGCATTTTCGAATGTTTGAATGAATCAAAGTGGGTCGTCACCTTCGATGTTCTCTTATGCTCCAACACACAGTTGCACGGGGTGCAGAATAGTTTCCCCCCACTTTTTGCCCGGTCTTTAGTAGAAATGTTCGTCGGTAAATGAGATGGATTAGATTTTTTCATCTTGGTGTTTTCTCTCTCGTGGGAGCTCCACACGTTCACTCTATACAGTGTTGTTTACATTCTGTGATGCACGAGCTGATGACGTCACGTCAAGACGAGTTAACTTTTTTTTCTTCTCAACTTTGTGTGGAAAAATGCGGGGATTATGCGGCCTTTTAAAAATCTGCGCCATTTTGCTGATTATGCGGTAAATTCTGCAATCGCAGAATCGCGTTTTACTGGAGGGTCTAACTAGTGCTTCTTTTGTACTTGATATGCTAAGGGCCGGGACATCTCTAAGTGGTTGACCAATCACAACAGAGCCGGCCATTTAACCAATCAGAGCAGGCTCTGGTTTCAGCCAGAGGGGGAAATAAATACCTGAAATGTAGCTTAATATGTCCACTTCAAGACAAATTCAATGATTTATCTCCAAAAAAGTGTTCAACAAAGTTATGGCCCTGTTGAGAAATGTCTGAAAACATTTTGAAATGTAGTTATTTGGGTTTGAGCAATGCACAGGATGACTTTTTAAGAAGGACTAACCTTGTAAAATGTGTCTTTAATTACAAACATGCACTAAGAACCTTACTCACAAAGGAATTCAAAGAGGAAGAGGCATGTTAAGAATGAGAAAAACTTGCTCAGGAAAACTGACCTTTCCTCTCTTTTCCTGACTTTTTCTGTGTGTGTGTTTGTGTGTGTGTGATTAATACCCCAGGAGATGGTGTGACATTTGATTTGGCGGGGTGTGGTTGGGGAAGTGCTTACTCGGCACAAACGTAAATCCACCTCACTGATGGAGTGAAGGGGGGGGGGGGGTTGATGAAATACACCACTGACCCTGACGAAAGAGCCTGAAGAAAAAACTCTGACGTTAAACACACTAACGCTAAATCTGCCTTTTGCAAAATATGTCCTCTTTTAGGAAATGGCACAACCAGAGTACGTTGTATCGTGCATATTCAGTAAAGTAACCTGAAGTTGCATTTGTATTACAAAAATATAATTTCTTATGACTCAAAAAGTAAAAAAATGTTGGCACCAGTTGATTGACACCTAAATGAAGTATGTGGAAATGTGTGGTTGTTAATCTCATTTAAAAACACATTGACATCTATGTTTATTGTTGTCATGTTATATAATTTGTTTATATATTTTTTTAACACTTTGTGTTGGTGATTAGATGCACAGAGTGTATACGTAGGGTCATAGGTGAGCGGAAAGGGAGGGCAGAGGAAGAGAGAGAGAGGAGGCCGTTTCTCAGGCCGTTTCTCAATCGCGAGGAAACTAGCTTCCAAGCCAATATTTCAAGGATGCTACGTCATCGAGTGCCGCCGAAGGACTGTTCCAATCTCCAGCATACTTGGAATTCCACCGAGGCCGCTACCTTGGTTTGGGGGTAATTTCGAGGCTGCACATGGGTAGACTTCGCGTCCTTCAAATCCCCACAATGCTTTGCGCACGGACCAATTTCCCCAAATCTGTGGCGGAAAATGTAAGGCGGGGCCTCTCATATGACGCACACCTGCACACTTGCTAGCCTGTTCCACTCTTCGTTTTCCAAATGCCAGGAAGGATTCTTGCCTAGCTTCTGAAGGAGGTGACTCGGAAGACATGTGCTACCAAGCAAGCATCCTCGCGATTGAGAAATGGCCTGTGTCTAGGCCAAAAGCTGTCATCCACTGCTGTAAACATCACGTCAAACCTCAACAAACACCTGCAAAGAACACATGCTAAGGTGAAGCTACCGCACACGCTATACACCATC